CATTTTTTCATTTCCTGACTGCTGGTGCCATAATTGTTGTTGTGGAACCAAACATGCTGAAACTGTTAACAATCTCAATCTCTTCTCTGTCTATAATGATGCTGCCAATTGGCCTAGTGGTAAGAATCTTTGTTTTCTTGACATTGAGCTTCAATTTATATTGAAGATACATAATAATAGTAAATGTAATAACTAACATTTCATTTTTAGCATAATGAATATTTCATACTATATGGCAGACAGTGCTCTAGTGCCTTAAATGGTTAAGAAACCGTGTGTCAACACAGAAGTGCATGTTTCAAATCCAGTAGCTGCTTTGTTAAAATATCATCTCACACTCCACTCTTTGGACATGTTGCTAGAAGAGGTTATTCCTTGAAGAGATACATCATGCTTGGAAAGGTAGAAGAATGGTGAAAAGGGAGAAAGACCCTCAAGTAGGTAGACTGACACTGACTGCAGCAATGGGCTCATGTGTGTCAGATATTGTGAGGTTAGGTCAGGGTTCAGATCTGATATTTAATGGTGTACTGAAGAGTCATACTGCACTCAATGGCACCTAACAACAACCTTATTACATTGATTGGGATTATAATCAATTTAATGCAACAAAATGTGTATGAACTGTTGAATGGAACAAACCATCTGCAACTGTAAATGTTCACACAAACCATACTACAAAGTTTAAAAAATAAAAACAGGCAACAAAAAAACCCATTTGTGATCACAGGGCCAAAGGGAATCAGTCAACAAAAACCTGATGGAGTCTCCCACAGTAGCTTTGTCTCCTCTTCCAAACCCCACTGTCCTGAGTCAGCCACTGCAAACAAACCATTTAGGGGACAGGGGAGGGACAGACCTTATGAAGCACAGTGCTGCTCTGCCATACTTGGAGTTGCTCTGAGTCAGGACTGGCTTTGTGCCAACTGTTTTTAATCCCTGGAACCTTTGAATATTCTACATTATATGAAAAAAGAAGCTTTGAAGATGTAACCAAGACTACAGACTTAAAACAGGGAGATTATCTTGGCTTTTCCAAGTCAGTCCAATCTAATCTGAGTCCTAAAAATCAGAGACTTTGGCTGAGGCCAGAGTCCTGCCCTCTGGAGAGAACCCTAGAAAGCATGAGATGAGTCCAAGCAGCCTTTAGGAATGAAATGACCACTGGCAATGGGAATAGAATATCTCTGTCCCATACCTGCAAAGAACTAAATTTGGCTAACAACCTGAAGGATCCAGGAAAGTCCTACCACACCTTATCATGACCATTTAAGATCACAATCAGAAAATCTACTGACTGGAAAAAAAAACATCTAGCAACACCATTTCAGACAAGGATCTCATGTCAAAAGTCTGTAGACTTCTACAGGGCCTCCAAAAGAAAAAGACTGATACCACAATTACAAAATGGACAAAAGACATGGGAAGAATTTTCATATTTGGGTGGCAAACAAATAAATGAAGAAATGCTCAAAATCACTGGCAATAGGGAGCTCTGGTGGCCTAGTGGCAAGAAGCTGCACTGCAATCCCAGAGGTACGCAGTTTGAATCCACCAGATCCTCTGCTGGGAAGGAGGCGCAATCTCCTCCTGTACTAGTCAGATCCGACTTGACAGTACACACAAAAAAATAATGAAATAAAACATTTTTTTAAATCACTGGCAATATGAGAGATGCAAATCAAAACCACAATGAGATGCCATCTCACTCCAGTAGCTGTGGCAAAATTTACCAGGAAAGCAAGTAATAAATGCTGGAAGAGGATGTGGCGAAATAGGAACTCTTATCTTATACACTGTTGGTGGGATTGTAAAATGGTACAACCTCTCTGAAAGGCAGTTTAGAATTTCCTTAGAAAGCTGAACACAGAAATTCCATATGACACAGCTATTTCACTTCTTGGAATATACTCAGAGAAAATGAGAACTGAGACATAAACAAAGATTTGTTCATAACAGCATTATTCACCCTCACAAGAACATGGAAACAGCCTAAAATGTTCAACCACAATCAAATGGATGGAGAAGTTATGGTACATTCACACGATGGAACACTATGCAGCATGCAGGAACAATGTTTTTGAAAATCACTACCTAACTTAGGAGGGACTGGAGAGCATTATGTTAAGTGAATAAGTTTCATAAGGACAAATACTGTACAAGACCATTATAGTAGAAAGATAACTAGTAAAATGTGTATGAGGAACCAAGGGGGGAAAGGGGGAGCATGGGCAGGAGGGTAATCACAGCTTGATGGGTAGAGGGAAAGGGAAAGAAATGTGAAATACCTGGTGTGAAAAGCAACACATAAAAACTTTTAAAGCAAACCAGTAGAATATAAAAATTTTACTTAAGGGTGGGGGGGAAACACTGACTCAGTTGAGTCTACCTGGAACTCTGACCTACAGAAACCAAAAGCAATCAATTTATGTTGCTTTAAATCTGAAAGTTTGTGTCCATTTGCTACAGCAGCCATAGAAACCAATACATATGCAGGAACCTTGCAAATGTCCGAAAGTATGAAACTAGCTCCCCTGGAAGCAAAAGGAAGATGAATGAGAAATTATTCGGAGAGCCTTAACTCTCTGAGCTCTCTGCCCTTCTAGCACCATCTTTTGGATGGTTATAGCTCCTGCTGGTTTTTAAATTCTGGCTTTCCTCAAAGAGGAATTCCTGCGTTGGGGGCTTCACTCACTACACAAGTTTCCAGTCTTTCACATCCTTCCTTTGAATTGGAAGCCCCCAATGGGGTAGTGAGAGGTTAAGCAACTGGCTGTTAAAACAAAAGGCTGGCTGTTCAGAGTCCACCCAGGGCCACTTCTGAAGCAAAGTCTGGAGATGTGCTTCCTGAAAACCCTCTGGGGCTCGGCTCTGCTTTACAAGCATGGAGAAGTTTGAGTGCAACAACAACAAACCTTGCGCTGCTCCCCAGTCTGCATAATTACTCAAAGCGGCAGAGCCCAGCTCTCCATGGACCCCAAGAGTCTCAGCCTTCAGCCCACTTTCTTTTGTCCCCCCTGATCCACAACCTGCACCCCGCTGTGCCCCCAATCATCAAGCACCATTAACAATCTCCCTTCTTTCCCTTTTCGCTTCTGCTTTTGCAGAACGCAGGCAGGCATTTATCATCCCTCACCTGCCCAGGTCATCTTACAACCATTTCAAATGTGGCATTTCATGCACCAGGCTCTGAGGCCTGGGAATCTCACTGTCCTGCTTAGTAGATTCCAACCCACAGTGACCCTCCATCCAATCTCTGAGGAAGATGGCTCATCTTTCTACCTTAGAGCTCCTAAGAGATTGTAGATTCAAACTAACAATCTTTCAGTTAGTAGCCTGGCACCAAGTGGAAAGCAAAGTCCTCATGGTAGTCTCTTGACAGGCTTCTTGAGGTGTCCTGTCTTTGCCCTTGATCCATCTCCAGGAACTTGGTAGGGGGGAATTTCCCAACCCTGGGGTTTCACTACCTCAGAAGCAGCTAGATGCCAAATCCAGATTCAACAGGTAGGCATGACAAACGTGCCAGTGCCTGCTCACCATTGTTCTACTTGGTTCTCCTGCACTCCTCACTCCTGCACTGGAACTCTCAGCCTGGAGGTAAAGCAGTCTCCGTGCTTAGGACTCTTCAGTCCCCTGCACACTCCTCTTCTTTCTAGTTTCTCTTTCCTGATCATTTGCCCCACAGAGGGTGCTCCAAGTCTGCCCAAGCTAACCGCCCCAGAGGCTGCCTCAGGTTTTTGAAGCAGTGCGATCAGTGTGGGGAGCTCTGGTGGCCTAGTGCTAAGAAGCTGTGCTGCAATCCCAAAGGCACTGGATTCTAGTCCTTCAGCTGCTCCTCAGGAGGACTAGCACTCACCTCCTGAGCATTGGTTATGGGCCATCAAATCGACATGACCCATAGTAACCCTATGAACAACAGCTCTGAACCCTGCCCTATCCTGAGTCAATCCCACTATCACACCTGGCCCCATTGCCAGTCACCGGTGTTAACCCATCTCATCCAGGGTCTTCCTCTCCTGCACTGACCTTCCACCCTTCCAAGAATGATGTCCTTCTCCAAGAATTGGTCCCTCCTGGCCAAGCCAGGAGGAGCTTCAAAATCCTTGCCTCCAAGGAGTAGTAACCTGGTTTCACCCTCTCCGAGACAGACCTGTTTGTTCTCTCAACATTACTGCCTCTGAAAACCCTCTTGAGGGTCAGTATGAGTACTTTTTCGACTTGATGGCCCCCAACAAAAAGCAGGTATTCTAAATGTCCCTTTTCTGTGTTTCTTTGGGAGCAGCAGCGGTCTCGTCCCTGCAAATCCAAGGCTAGCACAACAGCTGGCAGGCGCAACCACAATTTGGTAAATGAAAGAAAGGCGCGGGCGGCGGCAGAGGCTGGATTTGGCTGAGAGGCTCTGCCTGGGAGGTCTGAAGGCCCCCCAGCGAGGTGGCTGCTCCCACCTCCAGAATCAACAGCCGCTTCCTGCCACACCTCGCTTCCCGGGGGTGTGGGGGAGGGCTGGGTGCGGGGTCTCCAACACCGACGCCCCGAAGGAACAGCTCTCTTTTGCCCAGCTGCATCTCTCCCCTGCCCTCTGCCTACGCTTCCCACCCTGACGTGCTTTTCTGCAAGCGGCGCAGCGGAGCACCTGGACCTGCAAAAGCCACTGCAGGCTACCTCCTTCCCTTTTCATGTGCGGCGTGGAGAAAGCGGGGAGCAAAGCCAGAATCCAAGGCACAAGTGACGAAGAGCAAGCTCGGGGCGATGACTCATAGCAGGGGATCGCTGGTTTGCAGGGATAGCCCCAGCAGAGCCAACAAGCAATCCATGTCCGCTGAGGGCGGAGGCAGGAGCCGCGCCCGGAGACCCACCAGGTCAACGGCGCCTTTAGTGTCCCGAGGCCCGGTGTACCCCGCGGGTCCGGCCTCACTAGCCGCTCCGGGTAGACCTGAGGAGGTGGGGGTGGGAAGGTCCCAAGATCCCGCCTCTTCCCCCCCCATCCCGCCCCTACTCACATTTGACTGACCAGCTTTTGCCGGAAGGCGGCGCTCCGCCAGTCGGTCTCCTGCCCTGAAACGTCCATGCCGGCACCGACCCCCCGTTCCCGCAGCCCGCACTCCGCGCCGCCGCCCCAGCCGCCGTCTCAACCGCAGCAGCAGGCCTAAACCCGGAAGCTGTCTGTGGAGCACCTCGGCCGCTCCGGAAGTGGCGCGAATTGTGGGACGTACGGTCGCGTGGAATTGTGGGAAGTGTAGTCGCGCCCGAGGGCTTTTGGAAAATAAAGTCAGGACCCGGGGAGGTGGGGAACCTTTTGGGAGCTTTCTGGACTATAGTCCCTATTACATGCTGTGCACCTGAGAGCTGAACAGTGAATAAAGATGACAGAAGAGTTTGAGATGTGGTGTTGGAGAAGAGTGGGATCATGGACTGCCAAAGGAACAAACAGATATGGCTTGGGAAAAAGGCAGCCAGAGTACTCCTTGGAGGCAAAGATATTAAAGCTTCATTTCATATGTTGTTGTTCTGTGCCATCGCGTAGCCTGCGACTCATAGCGATCCTATGTACAACAGCTCTAAACCCCGCTCTATCCCTATGCCAATCTCACTATCTCCGACACAGCTACCCGCATTACCCCAGTAACTGAATCAATCAATCCATGTCACAGAGGGTCTTCCTCTCCTGCGCTGTCGCTCCACCCTCCCAAGCATGACGTCCCTCTCCAAGGACTGGTCCCTCCTTACAACATGTCCAAAGAATGGCAGACGAAGCTTCAGAATCCTTGCCTTCAAGGACCAGCCTAGTTTAACCCCTCTCTAGGATGAACCTGTTTGTTTTCTCAGGTCCTTCTCAGTTTCAGTACATATACATAGGGCATATTACTAGAAAAAGTTATTCCTTGGAAGGGACATCATGCTTAGAAAGTTCGACGAAAGAGAGGAAGATGCGCAACCTGATGAATTGATACAGTGACTCACTTGATTTGATTAATTGAGATAGGATTCAATGGCACCTAACAGCAACAACAGGAGTTTCGAGAAGATGTATTAATACAATAATTGCAGCAGTGGACTCAAGTGTATCAGAGATAATGAGGATGGCACAGGAGAGGACAGGGTTTAAATCTATTGTTCATAGAGTTGTTATGAGTTATATACAACTCGATGGACCCTGATGACAACAATAACAACAGGAGTTGCATGCTCTCTGAACAAGTCAGAGTGATACAACTCATGTACCAATTAATTCTCTTATTTAAAGTGGGTTTTTTTAAAAACAAATAAAGTGGCTTTTAGTATATTCACATTTTCATTCAGTGTGCAATCATCTCTCCCTTGCACATTTTTTCTATTAATTTTAATGAAAGTTTCCAGAGACTGAGCATTTCCATTCATTCATTGTTGCACTTTTTTCCCTGGCCAGGCTTCCCCGCAGTTTGATCTTCTCTTTGAAAAGTAAAAAAAAAAAAAAA